CCCCCCCCCCCGCCCCCCACCCGCAGCAGCCTGGCCTTGTGAGGCCTGACGAGCAGATGGGGGTCCTGATATGAGGGCCACAACCAAGGACAGCTGCAGAGCCCTCCTCTGGGGGGACCCTCTCCTCCTAGGGCACTGGTTCTCAACCTTCTGGCCCTTTAAATACAGTTCCTCATGCTGTGACCCAACCATAAAATTATTTTCGTTGCCACTGCATAACTGTAATGTTGCTACTGTTATGAATTGTAATGTAAATACCTGATATGCAGGATGGTCTTAGGCGACCCCTGTGAAAGGGTTGTTCGACCGCCAAAGGGGTCGCGACCCACAGGTTGAGAACCGCTGTCCTGGGGCCTCCTGGCCAAGTGGAGAGAAAAGAACGAGGTGTGTGAGGCTCACAGAACCACTCATGCACTTGGCACAGCACAGCGGTGCTGACGGGAGCAGCAATGCCAGGAGCTCAGGACTGCGTCCCCGGCGGCCGGAGGAGGGCAGCAGCAGGTCCGAGGTGAGCAGGGCCCCACTTTCCTGTGGGTGAGCTGTCGTTTCTGAGCCTCAGGGGATGGAGGCTGGCCAGTGTGACCCCAAGCAGGAAGGCACAGGAGCAGGTGCGGGCTGGAAAGAGACCTGGACCAGGCAGGCATCTCCCAGGCCGAAGGCCCCGCTGCAGGGCGGCACGGTTACCCCTGCTGGCCACGGGGCCGCATGCAGCAGGCAGAGCGCCAGGCACTGCCTCCCAGAAGCGGGCTCAGAGGGCTGAAACCTGCAGGAGGCCCAGACGGAGGCAGCCAGAACCTTTATTCCGTCTTTAAGGCACAAAATGCGGCCTGGCAGTGCCACGGAGCTGGAGGCCACAGTCTGCCTGCTCCAGAGCCTAGTGCATTCGTCCAGGGCGGCAATCAGTCCCTCTGTCCAGGGGGAACTCTACTTTCCCGCTGTGCTCAGCCCCACGAGGCCAGGAAGATAGCCGAGGCCGCCTGGACGACCTCAGGAGGGCACCGCCCTGGGTCTGTGCTTCTCTCCTCTGTGCTTGAAGCTGCGCAGTGGGTTCTGGGCCTTCACCTTCTGTGGGGGAAGGTTGAAGGTCAGCTGGAGAACACCCAGACAGACAGCCCAGGGCCAGGACAGATGCTGCTGTGGTCACCTGCAGCCTGGATGGCAGCAAGACAGACAGCCTGTCCTCCTCGTCTTGAAGGCACACATGTGTGGCTGCAGGAGTCCCAGCCCCCTGGCTTTGACCTTGCGGCCAGGAGTTTTGGCCAGATGTTGGGACCACTCTCCTCCAAGGTGTGTGCAGACCGGGGTGACACGAACCAGGTGGGGGAGACCACAGCTGCTACCAAGGCCGGGGGGAGGTGGGGGCATACCTTGACCTTCTTGGAGGACTGCTTCTTCCGCTTCTTGTGAGGGTGAACCAGGCCGCGAAGAGCAGGAGGAACTGCAAGAGACACGTGGCCTCAGTAGCTGCCACCGACCCTGCCTGACCCCTCACCCACATGCCCTCCGGGCTCTGCTGCGACCTCTCTCCCGTTCTGACTCAGGGCAGCAATCCAGTCCCACATTAAAGCGCCTACAGTCACACAGCTTTTTGACATCATAGAGTTTGTTGCAATAATCGTGTAAGAAAAAAAATTAAGGTATGTTCTTAAAGAAGAAATGCTACTAAAATAGGGAAAAGGTCTGCGTGGTCGCCCCACACGTGGCCTGTTACTAGATTCATCCCAAACTGGTAGCCGCTCCCCACAGCCTCCCTTCACCTGTCAGACACCTGCTCCCACCGTGCTGCAGGGTCCTGGCTTCTGCCCTCACCGCCAGCCAGGCCTCGGTCAGAGGCCTCTGAGCAGCACCCCGACACCCCAGCCGGCTGGCCACTCACTGTTGGCAAATGACTTTGCTCCTGTGTGAGGAGGGTAGCTCCCTCCTTGCCCCTCTGAGCCGCCGCCTCCACCACAGAGCACAGCGCCCCCTGGGACCGCGTGGCGGGTGCACCTGCCCAGCTCAGGGTCCCATCAGCCCGGCTCGGGGCCCACCAGGCCCCACTCACCCAGATAGTCAGGGACGTGGCCCAGGTGAGGCTTGACCACGGCAGGGTGCAGGGGCAGGTCATGGCGCAGCAGCTGGAGGTCCCTGGGGTTGTCTTCAAAGTACGTCTGACGAGAGAGACAGAGATGCAGGGGTCTGGTCTCCCTGTGACTTTACGGGGATCCACGTGGGTCACGCGTGTTTAGAATTGGAAGGCTGAGGTTTCCCACCGCCCGCTCCCAGGGGCAGCCGCTGATGGGCTCTCGCTTCCCCGTCCCCCACGCTCCCCCACGCGCTCCCTTTTCTGAGACACTCGGCGGCACACGGGAGTGCAGTGCAGCCTTGTCACTGTGACGCCAACTGTCCTTCTCGGAGTCGCCTCCCACCGAATGCCCCATCTGCTGAGGCCTCAGCACCGAGCGTGGCGCCTCCTCACCTTCAGCCTCTCCGAGTGCAGGAGCTCCTCCTTGATCTCCTTCAGCCTTGCTTCCCGGATGGCTTGTTTCGTCACCGAGCGCATGGCGTCCTGGGTGGATACCGCGGTCAGGACACTGGGCTCCCGGGATACCCCGTCCCCCAGGAGCCACTGTCCGCCCGGCACTCACCCTGCAGCGGTAGCGGAAGCCCTCAATCTCCTCCATGCGGAACTGGTAGGGAAGCAGGGCAGGGGCCCCGTTCTCTGGGGAGAAGCAGCAATGAGCGGTCCTGGCTGCAGACCCCCAGCCTCCCGTGCCCTCCCCTCCCCAACCCAGGATGAGGCAGCAGCCTCTCTGGCTCATTCCCTGCAATGTGACGTGCACACAGAGCAAGGCACCTGGGTGTTGCCAACAGGACACCAGTTCCCCAGGATCCGATGGCCAGGCAGTCAAGTCCCAAGTCCTGGGTGTCATTACATCCTTCACCCTCAGGACCTGCCCAGACACCTACTCTCCTCCCCCAAGGTGCCTTTGGACCCTGCGCCCTTAACCTCCTGGGGATGGGCAGCCTGCCCGTCCATCCTCCACTGTCCTCTTCTGACAGCCTGGCTGCCCCACAGAGCTCCCTCTCCCAGGGCTGCCTCCTGAGACACCACCAGCCTCTTCCCTGTCTCCCCGTTGCTGCCCTCGGCCCTTCTGCCCAGGGCAGGCAGTCAGTGTGACTCAGGATCTGGGCCTGCTCACCTGTGAAGGGGCAGTGCCTGCTACCAAGGGCAGGATGAGGATGCAGCGAGGGACATGGGGCAAGCATGGTGAGCAGGAGGGTGGCAGCCGGTCACACTACTGTCCCTGCCCCGTTTCCACCACTGGGTCCAAGGCATCCTGGGCGCAGCCTGGCCTGCTCTTACCTCCACCGAGAAGCTCCTCGATCCTGCCCAGCTGGGACTGCTCCGTGGGCAACACAAAGGTCAAGACTACGCCTGGGTTGTTGGCACGTGCCGTCCTGCAAAGAGATGGCCCAGCCCGTCTCGCCTGAGTCCTGGGGGTGCCCACAGTCCAGGTGCCCGCCTGCCATCCAGCTCTCCTACCTGCCAGCTCGATGGACGTAGGCCTCAGGGGTGGGGGGGAGGTCGAAGTTGAGCACGGCACACACGTGGTGGAAGTCTATGCCACGGGCCACCCCCGCCTCCGGATCAGAGGCCCTGCAGGAAACACCACAGCAGACTCGCCCCCGCTCTCCCGCTGGCCTTCTACAGCTCATTCATCAGCAGGGTCTCTGAACTGAGCCCGTGTGGAGCCCCAGGGCCCTAACATTGTAAAACTCTTTACATCCAGAACTGTCGCAGGAGCTGGGCAGAGGGGCAGCCACACCCTGGCCCTGCCCCCAGCTCTGAGGCAACAGCAGAACTCACCACCTCACAGGTGACCCAAGAACCCACTGGGCAGACTGCAGGCTCCCTTTCCCCCTCAGGTCACAGCTGCACCCAATGCAGGCTGGGCTGTCTCCCTTGCCAGTGTTCCAATCACCCAGGGACCAGCTGAGCCCTTCGCGCCCCTCCTCCAGGCCCAGCAGCCCAGCCTGGCTCCCACTCTGGTTTCAGTCTCCCTGGGGAGGGCTGGAAGGACAAAAAATGTGGACGCACCTGTTCCCCTTGGGCCCTTTGCCCTGGCGCTTGCCTTTGACCGGGGCACCCAGGACTTCGGCATCAGTCGCTATGACGCAGTCGTAGAAGCCTTGGTTAAACTGTGAGATGATGTGGCACCTGTGGCCCAAAGGGGAGGGTCAGCCCCAGGAGTAAGCTGGAGGCAGCGCTTCAGCCCCAGCACCACCGTGACCGTCATCCTGACGTTTCCCTCTCACACTCTCCCCCAGCACCACCGTGACCGTCATCCTGACGTTTCCCTCTCCCACTACTTTATCTGACTCAACCCCCTCGCTGAAGACGGAGAACAGTGGGTACCTCAAGAGTCTGTGGCAGAGTCACTGACTATCTGCCAGCCCAGAGCCTGGCCTCTAAGCTCTTAAAAACCAGGAACACCCATAGTGTCTCCTTCCCAATCCCCATCTTCAACGTGTCCCACCGAGACATCCACCGCACACCTGGAGCGCAGGGGCAGCTCCCCATTGAGCACGCAGGCGGGGATGCTGAACTGCTCCAGGAACAGGCGCAGCCGGTAGCTGCGCTCCAGAGTGTTGACGAAGAGCAGGGACTTGCCCCGAATCAGCGACAGCTTGAGCAGGGCGTACAACAACAGGAACTTGTCTTCCTCCGTGCCACAGACCACCTGGAACTGCTGTAGCTGCTCTGGCCCTGGCAGCTGGGACTCTTGCAACTTGAGGGTAACCTGGGGGGACAGGCCTGTGGTCAGGAAAGAAGGCAGAAACGCTCCCACAAGCCGCTGGCTGGCCATCCACAGTGTACCTGTGCTTGTTCAGGGCACCATGGTTCCCTCCCGCTGGCACAAGGTTTCAAAGGACCCTGGCTACTGTGGGTGCAAAAGACATAACACTACATGCAAAGTACCTGGGGCACAGAACAGAGAAACACAAGCACAGGACTGTAGTGAGCGGGACGCCCTATAGTAACACCTTTCTCAGGAACCGAGGTCTCATAAGTAGAGAACTTTGGCCCTGCTGCTAAAGGCAGCCTTTCTGCCCTTGGGGGTCCCTGCTCAGACCTTCAGGTGACCCCTAGGGGACATATGGAGGATACAATGATTTCAGATGTGGAGAGGATGTTGATGAACGATTGGCTTCTAGTGATTTAGAACCAGGGAGGCTGAACCAGTGACAACTGTCCTCCCCAGTGAGCAGGAGGACCAAGCCCTTTGAGTGCACACGTCAGCGACGGCAGGTGCGTCCATGGGGAACTCACTGGGTTATGCAGGACCAGCTCCTTGAGTGTTTGCACATCCTCGTTAAAGGTAGCCGACATCAGAAAAGCCTGATAAATCCGGGGCAAGTGACTACAATGAAACAGACCTGCGTTAGCCTCCAGCCTCTCAGCGTAGACTTCTGGCCACCTGCCCCAGGCCCAGGCGTGGACGCTCACCCCCCACACGCCTCCTCCTACCAGAGAAGACTCTTGAGCTCCTCCTCGAAGCCAAAGGAGAAGAGGAGGTCGGCTTCGTCCATCACCAGCAGCTCCAGGGAGTCCCGCAGCTTCAAGCTGTCTTGCTGCAAGTGGCTTAATACGCGCGACGGGGTCCCCACCACGATGTCAGGCTTCTCCATCAGCACAGCTCTGCAGGCGGGCCACCCCTCAGGGTCAGGGAGAAGGCACAGCCGGGACCTCACCCCTCCGTGCTGCACACAAACCCAACCTCCTCTCTGGGCAGCGTCACCCCCTCCAGCCCCGTGCCTTCGCCCACCTCTGAGAGGCCGAGTCTTCAGCGGCTGAGACATTGGCCACCCGGATGTCTCGGGCGCAGTAGGCAGCCAGCTGCTGGATCATGGCCTGGGCCTGCCGCGCCAGCTCCTTGGTGGGCACGAGGACAAGGCCGCGCACAGCCTGCTCCACCACCGGGCCGGTCTGCAAGAGCAGGACTCAGACTTCAGGCAGCGTCCCCGCATCGTGGCCCCCGGCGCTTCTCTGGCTCTGACCCAGCGGCTGTGACTCCAACACAGCCCAGCGCTGGCTTCCCCCCCTCAGAACGCGGGGCGGAGGGTTCTTCCCCAGGTGCTGACCCTCAACAAGAGCCACTGACTTTCCGGTGACCAAGTTACTCTAAAAGGCCAGCGGCTGGAGGTCCACAACAGACTGCAGGTAGGAGGGGGCACGCCCAGGTCCACAGCAGAGATTCACTCACGGCCTGGACTAGGGCCCAGGGACCTGACTCCAGCCCAGAACGTGCGCCTCCAGGTACGAGGCTGCGGGCATCCCGCACGGGTAAGAGGCCAGAGGACGGCCTGGCTCATGGCAACCACTGGGGGCGCGGGGGACCACCACGGCC